CCATGAAGACAAGCAGACAGGAGGGAAAAAATACCTTATACACTCCCCCTTTTAAAGGGCAACCAGGGATTAGGGGACCCAGTTGCCAAATCCTGGTGGTGAAGAATCATCACCCACAACCTTTAGTTCAGGTTGGCCCACATCTAGGTGATGACAAATTATCCTCCACCATATTTCAGTCGAGTGCTACATTTAGTGAATTTATGTAAATACTGTTACGCAGTCTGGAATTGAACGATGGATCTGGCAGTCGGATGTGTTAACAGTTATACCCCGACAAAGTCTATAGAAGAATGCAGTAATTCCTTATAGTACATTACCTGTTTCCGCACTAGACAGATACTTCAAGTTAAATATGGTTTGCTAAGGATCGTATCTGCCAACTGTCAAACATGCTATCATAAAATGTATGCCTCTTTTGATTGACCAGCAGAAAGTAATATAAAAAACTGCATAAAATTCAAATCAAAGTTCTACAGGTAAACAATCATGCTCACTTTCTTCTGTGCAACAATCTATTACATCAGTGTGTCCTGAAATTTTGGTGAGGCAGAAATCAGAATCTGTTTCACCAATTGGCTATCATTGTAACCACTTTCATTTGTCTGAAACAATGGTCCGCACATGTCCAGGACATTCAATGTGGCAAGGACTGCCCACTTCTCTCCTGCATCATGTGGGAGTGCCGGACACTACATTCACGTCCTTAGATGTCTCACTACGTTATGCCAAAGCAGCATATTCAATTTTCAACTGGTTTTGTTGTTACAATGTTTCATACCTTTCCATCCAAATATCCCTTATAGTTATATAAGGTTAGTTCTATATGCTTAGAATGGTTAGTTATGCCTCCAATTTTGAGACAGCATCCTGGAGGGGGAGGGACGGATCCAAAGGTCTCCCACTCCTCTTGAGAAGGCTTTCGGCTCACCGTGTATTTAGAATGGTCATATATCACACATGCGCTATTCATTTACAAATATCCATGCTTTCTCCAGGATTCGAATCCAGGCCCTTCAGTGAGGCAGTCAGTCACTAACCATTATTTTGGTTGGGCGGCAGTAAAAGTCTATTTCATTTGAATTTAGAGATCATATGCATCCTCTGTGATCAAAGATTTCCATTTAATCACTAGGCAGCTTGACTTTTCTAAGAGAAAAATCCATATGCATCTGCAATAATTTGACAAAGAGGGAGGAAAAAAAATCAGGAAGACTAAAACAATAGTTAAGAAGCTTTCGCAGATGTGTGAATGAACAATAGCTATGCAAAATATCTTTGAGAAGGGTAGAATAAAGACAAAATATATGGTTTAATTTTAAAAGAAATTGAAAAAAACTGAAAGTTTTCAGATTTTATATTAGGCTGAAAGGGGCTTTAGTTAACATTTTGTGCGCTACCTTTATTTATTAAATATCATGTTCTTCTAATTTAAACCATAGAATTTAATTCAACAGCAATATCAGAAAGTAATTTAAAAGGAGTTGTGTATTTGTATCGGAAATTGTTGTGCCTGTGTATCGGAAATTCTAAATATCTTTAGAATTTCCGATACACAGGCTCTAATATTTGTTGGCAACAATTTGAAAAGTGAAACACCACAAAATGACAAAACAAAATTAAAAATTATTACCTTTCTGGGCTAATAAATAAAAGGATATATCTACAGAAAAACCGCACTGTTGCATATCGATATTCACAGTTATCAGTTTATATTTTGTATGTATCCACAACAAGGAGACATGTTATAATCTAGAGAAAAATGTTTTGTGAGTAACTTGTGTAAGGCGACATATTATAATAATCTAGAGAAAAATGTTTTGTGAATAACTTGTGTTAGTAAAAGTGTCTTAGCATGAAATAAAATATTTAGTTTATGACCATAAGAATCTTCTGTATTCCTTGTTTTGAGGAGTTACAACACATAAATTATGATTTTGCAAGAGAGAGGCTAATATTTTCTAATAAAACAGTTACAAAAGTGAAAGAAATCAGTACAATGTACTGCCCCTGTTCAGTAAGATACAAATGGTTCTCGGCATAGAATCTCAGAAATTTCTCTTGCTTGTAAATGCACATGAAAAAATTAACAAATGTTGTAAAAAATGTGAGATGAAGTAAAGGCAAATATTGCCCTTGTTCAAAAAAGGAGAAGAAATCATGACAATTACAAATGATAATTAATATGAAATACTTTAAACTGAAGCAAATTTAATGTTGTTCAACTAACTAAAATTGTTTCAGCAAATAAATAAAAAATAAATAAATAAATTTGACGTGTTCACCAGATGACTTCTTTCTATGAAATATTAAATTATATGCAGGTTTTGCTGCATTTCATTTAAACTTATTTCCTCGAATTTCATTAGAGATATATTTCTCTTTCAATTAATTCAGTTCTCACTTTTCAGTAAGGCAAAAATACACAAAATCTAAAAATATCTTCATTAAAAATTGAATGATGTAGAAAAGCATAAAACACCAAATACAGTTAAAACAATTAATTTTTTTTTCATACTATGCTGAAAAAGTAAAAATACATGAGCATGTGCATTTAATAAAAGTTTATCTCTGTAACTGATATTTAATTTTGAATAAATGTAATTGACTACAATGTTAACTGTAACCATAATTCCATGCTTTTTGCTAGAACTCTCTTGTGTGGCCAATTTAAAAAGCTACAAAAGCCAGAGAGAGAACATCTCAGCTCAGTTGTTGTTTATAAAACTGTTGTTTGCTGACTGTAGCGAATTCGTCGTGACATT